TATACCTCTTGGGGAAAAACAGAGAAACACCAGACTTGTGAATGACATCTGACGATAAAACTTCATGGCTTCCCATTTTTGAGAAATTATCTTTGAAACATTCTTCTATATTACAAAAAAAACTTCAGAACTATCCCTTTAGCACCTTTTCCCACTGAGGTTCCTATAACTGAATACTGATTCACAGAAAGCCTGGTTCGGTGCCTGAATAATTACAACATCTATAGCAAGAACTGCACTGTTTTTTTTTTTTTTTTTTTTTTTTTTTTTTTGTTTTTTTTTTTTGTTTGTTTTTGTTTTTGTTTTTGTTTTTTAGCAACTGCTGGTTAACTGAATAGCTGGTTGATCTCAAACTTCAATGTATCTTTGTAAATCAAGAATTCATCTACAACAAGGAAGCGCAAGTATTGTGTATACAACTGCTAAATGAACATGCAACTGCTTTTACATAAGCTAATGTCTTCTGAGTGACAAAAAAAAAAACAGGCTTCTAGATCCAAGTGAATCCTGTAAATCAGAAATGTTCATATATTTTTAGAAGACAAGATCTTGTAGCTTTGCAGGACACATAGATTACTTGCTGTGAGTAAAGAACAAAGGTGTCTAAAGGCTAAAATAAAAATGCTGAACAAATGGACTTAAAAACACTTTTAACAAAGACAAAGTTTACCATCTAAAATACTATGGACAAAAAATTACTTCTGAATGGCATTTGACAATGTGAAATGATGTCTCTCATAGAAGGCAGGCAAAGATGCCAAGATTTACAAACTAAAATAGCCTTTGGGTGAATGTTTCAATATGATGTTCCACCTAAGACAGGTCACAGAAGCCCACTTTGTTTACAAATGTTCATAACTCTCTACTTCAAGAAAAAAAATCCTTTCCATTTCAAGTAAGAAACACAAATATGAAGCCATCTTTTCATTGCTAGTCATCAAACCATCAACCTCTTGTTTTTGTTTTCTCCAGGCCTTGATCATCCTTATATCCATTTCCATATCATCTGCCTGTATGCTTATTCACAGTCTCTCCTGTCTATGTCTCCTGTCTAAGGAAAAATATCTTGCAAGACTTATGAAAACCATTCTTTGTTCTTAGGTCCTCTCTCTGGTACTATACCCTGATGATGTCATGATAAAATTTTATTAGTTAAGAAAGCGACAATAGAATAGTAGAATCACAGAATGGTTTGGTTGGAAGGGACTTTAAAAATCATCTAGTTCCAACCCCTCCACCATGGACAGAGACACCTCCCACCAGACCAGGTTGCCCAGACACCTCAAGGGATGGGGCATCCACAGCTTCTCTGGGCAGCCTGTTCCTGTGCCTCACCACTCTCATAGTAAAGAATTTCTTCCTTATATCTAATCTAAACCTATCCTCTTTAAGTTTAAAGCCATTACCCCTTGTCCTATCACTGCACCCCCTGACAAAGAGCCCTTCCCCAGCTTTCCTGTAGGCCTCTTTTAGGTACTGGAAGGCCCCTGTAAGGTCTCCTTGGAGCTTTTTCTTCTCCAGACTGAACAACCCCAACTTCCTCAGCCTGTCTTTGCAGGACAAGTGCTACAGCCCCTTGATCATCTTCGTGGCCTTCCTCCAGAGTTGTTCTAATATGTCCACATCCTTCTTGTGCTGGGGACCCCAGAGCTGAATGCAGTGTTCCAGGTGGGGTCTCACAAGAGCAGAGTAGAGATGCAGAATCTTCTCTCTTGACCTGCTGGGCATGCTTCTTTTGATGCAGCTCAGGATACTGTTGGCTTTCCGGGCTGCAAGCATACATTGCTGGTTCATGTCAAGCTTCTCGTCAACCAACACCCCCAGGTCCTTCTTGTCAGATGGTAACTTTTTCTGTAACTTCCACTGAATTCTTTTCTAAGTGTTCCCTTGTGCTTCCAAAACACCCTAATTCACTTTGTTTCTTGTGCCTACTAGCCCTACTGTGTTGTGTGCTTCCTACACAGATAATACATTTTCTTAGTTTTCTCTAGTAAGGTTAGTACAATATGTACCTGATTCTTAATTAGGCTCAAAAGATACAATAAACAATTACAAGCCTGCAGGAACTTACATATATAGATCTGGGTTTTCAATTATTTTGATAATGATAAAAGAAAATGAAGATGAGTGACTAATGGATTAATGGGAAAAACTTCTACTACTAGGTCCTCTTTTGCAATGAAAGGGCATTTAGCACTTTTTATATAGGTAACAGTCTATCCCCTCCTCTGCTTTTTTTTTTTTTTTTTTTTTAACAATGGCAATTTCAGACCCCAGTGTATGTTGGAAGAATAACTAACAGAATCTGGACTTTTTCATGAGATCCTTACATTGACTTTGGTGCATTGCACATGTGTAGTGAGCTTAATTTAGCCCAGAACCACTAATCCAAGTATATGGGAACAATTCTTCACTACTTTATGTCTTGTATAGGTCATTTTCTCCAAAGTAATGTGCATAGTGACCATTTTGTCTCACTCTGCAAAGAGGCTGGGAGTGGAAGAGAAGGAGACAAAACACAGTTCTTAAGCACTATGGTTCAGTAACCATCTCTCTCAGTAATTAATTTTAAAGGAGTAAAAAGAAAGTATTAGGAAAACTCATAAGGGTAAATCACAGCATACTTATTTATCATTCAGATTCACTACTACTTGATAAAATCAGAACACTAAATTATGTGCATCCATATTCCAAAGACTAAAAATAAAAATAAAAATAAAAATAAAAATAAAAATAAAAATAAAAATAAAAATAAAAATAAAAATAAATAATGTCCCTTCTTAGACAATGAAGATGTTAGCATGAATATGTCAATATTCTTACCATCCAGACTGTATTAACACCTGTAGTACTCACTTATAATCAACAGCTCAATACCATTGTAACCAACAATCCTTTCCTTAATTTATTTACAACCTAGAGAGGCCCACTTGCATGGTCTGATGCAGACAGCTCTGTGTTAATCCTGCCCATCCTCTGAGTTGGCCAGGTATGAGTCAGCCCCAGTCCAAAAGCCATAAAGCCACATTAATGAGGCACCAAGAGAGAGGTCTTATCACCATGGGCTAATTACTGCACTAACAAGGCAAGGCTCTGATTCACGTCTGACAAGCTTTGAGGCTGGGTACAGTTAGGCCTATCTGTGTCAGAGGAGAAGCATGAGAAAAAATATTAATGCTAGAAGGACTAATCAAGGTGTTTTGTTGGATTATTATTTTTTTTTTTTGGTAGAAAAAAAAATCATAATAAAAATGAAAAATTCCCAGAGATCATTCGCTTATGGCAAAATTGAGGACAGCTTTGGGTTCTAGGAAGAGCACTGCCAGCAGGTCCAGAGAGGTGATTTTTGCCATCTGCCCACTACTGGTTGAGACACATCTGAGTACTAGTTCTGGGCTCTCCAGTACAAGAGAGACATGGGCACACTAGAACAAGTCCAGCAAAGGACCGAAAAGATGATTAATGGACTGGAGCATTTGACATGAGGAGAGACCAAGAGAGCTGGGACTGTTTAGCCTGGAGAAGACAAGACTCGGGGAGGATCTTATCAAATACCTGGCAGAAGGAGTGAAAAAGATGAAAACATTCTTCTCATTGCTGCCCAGTGAGAGGGCAAGATGAAATGGGCACAGGCTGAAATATATTAAATTCCTATGAAAGTTATTTATTTATTTATTTATTTATTTCTCTAGGGGTGACTGAACACTGGGAATACATTTCCCAGAAAGGCTGTAGGCCTTTATATATATGAGGAATAATCCTCATATATATTCAGAACCCAACTGGACACAACTATAGTTGACTTTGCTTTTAACAGATGGACTGGACTAGAAAACTTTGAAAGGTCCCTTCCGACCTTAATGATTTTCTGATTTTGTAATTCTGTAATTTCTTCTAAATAAAAATTCCTTTTCTAAAATAAGAATCTTTTAAGGAGAAATTGTAGTCTGGAGAGAAATGGTCAACATCAGAATATTCATTCCAGGCTAAGACAGAGGTGAGGCTGATATCATTAGGTGCACTTTCTCTCTCTCCTTGCTATGCAAAGAAGGCTCAGCCAGCTCCCACTTCAATATCCAAAATTAGAAGAGATGAATCCCAGCCTCCTTCACCAATCATAATCAGCACCCAAATTGGTGTTGAGGTGAAACACAAAGCAATTAATGACACGTTTTGTGGCACAATACAGCACAATACATCCAGAGCCAACTAATCGGAGAAACACCATGCTCACAAGATAACGTTGCTTCTGGCACCCAAGCTAATGCTGTTCTTTCTCTGTGGCAGGGATTTTTTCAAGTGGCTATGCTCTGAGTGGTTTGCTCAGATTTGTCACAAGCCAAGAACTAATTTTTATTCTACGCAGTCCCACAACAGACGCAAACACAGAAGATTTTTACTTCTTCCTGTGTGCAAAGACTTAATGATACATAACTGTGAGGTATGAAATGCTCATTGGCAGCAAAACTTAACTCCAGATATACAGTTCGAGCCTTTTTTTAAGGCGCTGTATTTCTGAAAAGGTGGGAAATGGATCACCAGAGAGTTCACCTCACAAGACTTATCAAAATCCTAACTTGACTGTTAGTGGAAAATAGACAATCACGTTATCCTCCAGCATGAGGAATCACACAGAGCAAAATCTGCAGCAGTTAGAACACAGTAATACGGCTACTCATGCTTGCATAATCATATTAAACATTTTCATTCATTTCTGCTTGTTAAAGTAATATGATGACTTCTTCTAGTTTCAAACATGGCAATGAAAGGAAGCTTTACTTTCCTCAGCCTGCTGTGCAGCGTTAGTGCCAAAGGCAACAGCTTTTTAATCCAAAGCAAGAGTTTCAAGATGAAATACATTTACCAGCACAGGGGAAAAAAAAAAAAAAAGAAATGAAAAAGGGAAATGGGCCCTTCTCACCTGCCCATGTATAACCATGTGAGTTAAATTAAAAACATACATTGTCAGCTGGAAGCTCATTTGCGTGAAGAACCGTTGGCAGGTTTTGACAGTGTACAGTAGAGCAGGGTTACAGAGCTGTGTGTCTTTCCCTTCCTCTTGGCTGCTCAGTACTACAGAAGTGAGAGCTGAGGAGCAATTTCACTGCAAGACCAAGACAGCTTTTATGAAGGTGAGTCACAGGATTCAAAGGACAGTGTGTAAAGGAGAGTCTGCTTTGGAGTCCATTTATAACACAGAATGGGACAGAACTAGAAGCCTGTGGTTCTCCCTCAGGGATTTGCTACACAATGAGGGAGATGCCAATTTTGAAACTCAGAGATTGAAATGTAGCAATCATGAAAGTGCAGACACCTTCTCCTCCAGTCCACTCAATCCCCTGAAATTTTAATTGACAGAAAAGAGTAACGTCAATTTGTTCCCCACTGCTGACAGCTTTACATAGAGTATGCAGTTTTGTGTTAGGAGTGCTAAAGAATTAAAAGAAAGTGAACTGAGAATGATCTATGCAGTGTAATTCAGTACAAACAGAACTGAAGAGAGTTTTACCCACTGACATTAAAGCAAGCAGAACTACAGCCTGAATAACAGGGTTTTATGTCTTACTCCCTTACTATCAAAAACAATATTTTAAAAAGCTTGAGCCATAATTATGGATTTTAATTCAGCTAGTCAGCTCAGTCTCACTGGCGACACAACAATATCTGTCTGTATCTCTGCACCACTGTGGCAACACCTATATCTGTTTGTTATGAGAGACTCTTGAGCAAGCAGAACTTATGTTTTCAGAGAATAAAAGGCAGCTGGGCTCTTTTCTCACAAAACACCTCTACATATTACTACTTAGTCAAAGAAACAGGTAGTGTTCACCTTTCTGAAGTTAAACTACCAAGATGAGAAAGGGCTGTTTATCATTTTGGAAAGATTACATTTTCTGATACCTTCAGGGGGCCTTCAGGAATGGGGAGTTAAGCAGAATCCAAGACTGATTGTTCATATAACTTCTGGTGCAAATCCTTCATGTGGTTCTAGTACCTTGTCGTGTCTGCATCTCCTACAGGTTATTGAACTGTTTCTTGCAGATGTCTGGCAACGCCGTGCATAGCTAATCAACTCACTCATGACTGTGCTCCATTCAACTTTAAAAGTTTTTTCCTTTTATTTTTTTTTTTCCAGTTTCCCAGAATAATGAAACAAGCGCAAACATTAGCTGCTTATTTTCCTGGAAGTATTTTTAGAAATACACTGAATGAAAATTAAGTCATTTTTTTTTCAGTATTTCAGTTAATTGCTCTCCCCTTGCACGTGCCATGCGGACTGCCAATTTGAATTGTGTACTGCTGACTACTAGTCATTATCAGTCCAATAAAGCAAGCAGAAGAAACTCATAATTTTAGAGGATATTTGTGAATAGGTAGGAATGCTCAGATTCGTTGACAATTATTTAAAGAGGTGATTTATTGATGATCATTTAAGGATGTGAATTGTTTCCCAGTGAAGTTTTTATTTAATTCTTTCCCTAAAAATAAATAAATAAATAAATAAATCAGCCTTTGTCTCAAAAGTTATACTGAGCTAGTCTCTGGGAGGTACTGCTAGCTTTTGTAGTTCTTGACTATTTTGTTTAAGACTTAAGTGAACATTTGATTAGAAGCTACAATTTCTGTGAGTAAGGATTGTGCGGAGAAATAGTTGTGCTGAAACCAGTAGTGACTGATGGAAGTAGAACATCTTCTAATAAGTGACCTGAGTTGATTTATTATTATTATTACTTATTTATTTATTTATTTTTAGCAATTGCTTCCTTAAATTTATGTGGGAATAGATTTTTTTTTGTATTGTAGGAAATAGGAATATCTAATCTCTCAGGCCTTTATGCCCTCCCAGGTTTTGGAAAACAAAATTTGCACAATTAGTTTCATATCTATTAAAGGATTTAATATGTCCACATACTGAAAAGTTATGCTAACATATTCACATCTCAAAAACCAATATCTCACCTAGGTTTTGCTCAACAAATTAATAATCTATACATCATTTGCAATGCACATTGGGAGAGCTACAGATGAGTTTTCGTGTAAGATGCAGGTATTATAAATTACTAGCATTGACAATCCTGTTTAAAGAACTTGTTTGTATAATAGGGAGGTGAACAGAGTAAAAACATATTCATTCAGGTCACCAAAATAAGAACATTTCATTGTTTAGGAACTGGCACATTTACCTATCTCTCTATTAGTTCTTGGGTAAACTTCTCTTTCCATCCCTTCTGTCACATCATCTTTTTTACATAGTAAAGTACACCAAGATCAAAGCTGATAGCTGGAAGCCATTCTTTTCATAACGATGTGCAGAATAACTGCAAAATAACTTTGAATTTCTATGGACAGAACAGCAACATATCCTTACACTTATCCTCTTCTATAATTTTCCTTTCCCCACCATTTCTCACATCTTCCTCACAACATGATAAGATGCTTGTATAAATTGCCAACATGAATTTGGAGTGGATGGAGAATATTATTCTCAGACATGCAAAATACTCTGGAGATGTTCAGAACAGTTTAGCATAAGCATAGCACTTACATTAGTAAGAAAAAGGCTAAGTTATGTCTTGCAGCTGCCACTATTAGTTGACTACTTGTGCAATTAATTACTTTCCAGAAAATTCAAGCCAGCGTTTGTGACAGGAATATTTATTGTTAATCACTCAGTAAGAAAGCAGCCATCCACAACTGACCTACACACAAACATCTAGTCTCCAAAATGCCTGGCTGTTTTTTTTTTTTTTTTTTTTTTCAAGCTAAATTCAAGAACATATACTATAGCAAGCAGACAAAAGAAAACAGTGTTTTTGTATCTTCATGGAATAACACTCTTTCTCCCTTTCAATTTTTAGAAACATTAAAATCAGTACACCAACATGTGCTTAACTGTTAGGCTACTTGTATCTGCCTTTTCTCGCCTAATGCTTTTCTCCCCTCTTATGTTCTCGTTATCTATGTGCTTAACTCAGATGAGTAAGATTGTACATGTAAATAGACACTTAATGGATCTGGGGTCTCAGATTTCAGATGTTCATAGGCAAAATACAGGAATTAGATATGTGACAATGAGAGAATAAGACACTGTTGCTTCAGTCTAGAGGGATCAGACCATGGTTTCATTTCAGGGGGGTTTACAGCAGACAAGAGAAGGCAGCAGTATTTTTTACAGCTAGTCTAAAAAGCTGATTCAAACTAACATGGATTTGGATCAACAAACCTAAACTAAAAATGCTTGGTATTTTTATTATCTTTTCTATCCATAAGTGAAAATCACACGTAAACAGCAAATAAGTGGAATGTGCTGTCACAGGTCAAGGACCACCGCCTAGGTCAACTTCAAGGACTTGTATCTTCAGTTGATGAACAGTACCCTCAAAATGAGGTCTATGACAGCTCCATGTTTGCTCTGACTTTAAAACACATGGCATCAGTGTTTTCATATCTCAGCTAAACAAAAAGCTTGCTCTGAGAGCTGAGATAAACTGGAGGTCAAATCCCAGAATACCCACAATTTGCTTTACAGTTCCTGCTTAGACCCACCCTTAGCTGGAAAATCCATACACATCTCTCTGTTGGAGGAGACATTCAAAGTACAACCACGTTGATATTTGGAGTTAATCTTGGAGACAGCTCCAGTGAAATGAGTTACCCCTTTTTTATCAGATCTGAGGTAGATGGTGGGATTAAGGTGTAAGATTAAGGTTTATCCTACCCATCAAAGCAAGATAAACATAGTGCTTTTCATCTCCTCAATGTACATTACACCTCCTTCCTAAAACAGTAGGGTATCTGAGGAACCATTGAATAGAAGCCAGAAGTGCTTGCCCTGACATGTGTAGCTTTTGGTTCCTGCAAGGGGTCAAAACAACCACAATATTTCTGAAGCTGTGGAGGCTAAATGAGAGGCAGTGTACTAAAGTATGAACTAAAAACTGCAGCTGAATATGAGATTAGACTCACAGGTTTTGTGGTCAGACACAAAGGTAGGAATATATCACACACTGATCTGTGAACAACAGAACCCTATTTCGCCAAGTGACAGTGGTGCTAGCTATATTACAATCTGCCTGCAGTTCTTAGAACATCACTCATTTCACTCATTTTACAGATTCCAAAGGAAACAGTAAAGCCCAGATCTGAGTCTTCAATAGAAACAGTCAAAAATCTCAAGAATATTTCCCCCATTGAACAGGAAATCACAAGTACTATGAATGTCTTGTTTTAATCTGTCCTGAATTCCTCACAGTAAAAGTGAATTAGGTTGGATATTTTCTTTTTGGTCAGCTATCCATGAGTGTGAGTGGCTGATCAGAAGGTCTTCATGGAAGGCTATACTAAATCTGCCAAGAGCAGAAGCAATTCAAGATCAGGATTTAAGCTTAGGAAGACTGTACATGCGTATTGGCATCACATCAGTTAAAATACACTGTGTTTTAAAAACAATGATCTATTGCAATGGCACACAGACAGTAATGTTATTATTGTGGTGAAAGAAACAGTACATACCAATACAAGTCAAAAAATCTGAATCTTGTCCCAGTCTCCAGACATATTCAGATTTGGGATTAAAGTTTGGGCCATCTGTAAACTCCAGCTCTAAAATTGTGGTGTAGTTGTTTATTCTAATCAAAAATTTTATATTTTTTCTTAATAAATAAATAAATTTTCAAGAAAGAATAACTATTTCTACTTTAGTACATTGTAAAAATGGAAGCTTACAGAAGTTTTAATATCTTGAAATACTGAACATGTTTTTATTGGGACAGGACAGGCTAATTGACTCAGAAACCTACTTAGTTGTTTACTCCTCCTTCTAAAATTGTGTCTTTTCATACTGCTTACCTTTTTTTTTTTTTTTTTTTTTCCCACTTTTTAACAATGGACTTGCACAAACTAAAATACTGCACTAAGAATATTTGAGATTCATTAATTACACTATCTGAAATGAGGCAGAGAATTTTACATTGCTGATCTAAGGGAAAAAAAAAAAAAAAAAGCTAAGTGTTTATGCAATGAACTCTGAAATTCCCAGTGAATGTGGAAATTAGTTCACAGTTACTCATTAGTTTACACTTCCATCTTGATAACATCTGAAAAATTCAATTTTAGTAGCTTAGACATGAAAATAATTGAAAATTTTCTTATTTTCACCAATTTCCCATTGGAGTTCAAGAGTCTGTCTTGATTAGAAATCTGTGAAGTGATGGCAAGGAGAAGATAAAACCAATATTGTTTAGTGCAATAGTGTGTTTGGTAGCTGCTTTGCAACTTTATAGTATTTTTTTTTCCTTTATTTTCTGAATTTTACAGAAAAAAAATAGTCAAAAGCATTTTCAGCAATGCTTTTGATTTCTTTGGTCATGATTTCAGTGGAAGAAATACAACATCCAAAAGAAAGTACTAACACAAGATCAGAAAGATGTGCATCTTTACAAAATAACAGCAAAGCTGTTTTCCTGAATGGGAAAAGTCTAACTCTTCTTCAAGGAATGACAAGGATAAATGCCTAGAGACAGTGTTATATATTTATACTGAGTATACCAAGGAAGAATATTTAATAACAGAGATAGAAATAGTCATTCTCTTTGTGATACTTTCTCTTTGTGTTTCTCTTTGTGACTGCACAACCTCTCTTCTGTTGCCTGATATGCAAACCTCAAATACACACACACAAACTATACACACCAGACAGAAAGGAAATAAGGGAACCCCTAGATTGGCCATCTGTGACAACAACCAAATGTGACAAAGGAGAAGAAAAATTACAAACTCCGAAAAATAGTCAGATAATTAATTTTAATCACATTTCTTGCAAGAGAATTTTCTAAGATTCAGACCAAGTGAACACTAAAACATGTTCTGAAATTTAGCATCCACACAACCCAAAATTGTCACAGGTCAAGTTGTCTACACTCTTCACTGTGGCAAGATACATTTCCAACAGAATTCCCCAGGCAGTCTACTGATTTTACTTTAAACTTCTGTAAATCCAGATGACTCCATGAGGAACTATGTTAATGGAATCACTCTGGCATAAACCTGCAGTAACTCAGAGGAGGCTCAGACTCAGGAGATGAAAGGTTATGTGTGAAAAACACTGGGTAATGGGCAGCAGTATTCATATGGCAGTATAAAGATTTTGTAAATTCACTGTAAAGAGTTTGTATCAAAGCTCACCAATCTATAGTTGAGAGAATCTTTGCTGTTGCTGATAAGCATACTTTTAACATCCAAATAATTAATATTCAGGTCTTATTTCTGAAATAATAGTATGTTTATTATTTTATCAGTGCTTAACAAAGTCCAGCAATTACAGGCTTCATTAAACAACATGCAGACAATCAAAACAAGTTAAGTAAATGATGGAAGAAGTAAAAGAAAAATATTTGATAATAAAATACCACATTTTCACAGTAATTTTACGACCACACACTTATGTAAAATTGTTGATAGCAGTATTATAATAAGATATTTATGTCCTTTGCTCTTAAAAAATAGCAATCTTTCTATCTGGCTACTGCTCAGTATGAAGCACACCAACAAAATACGTATAAATCTATTAGCAAGCAGGCACAGAAAGGTATCTCTTCTCCATCTTGAGACTTTGTGTGCCTTATTAAAGGATAATTTGTTTCTATCCTGGGACCCTGAATGCTATATTTATTATTCAGAGTATTCATTTATGTTCTTAATTTCTTTAAATCAATTTTTACAATGCTAGCAAACCCTGAACTTTCACTATATCCTATGAAATGACTGTCCTTAAGGATTTGAAATCTCATTAATATTACATAATAATAATTTTTACTATATGTTCTAGGAAGTGATTTCTTAAGGATTTTAGAACATATATTAGAAGTAGGCCAGAAATTTAGTTTATCTTAAATATATCAGACTTGATCATCTGTGTTTTGCCTCTAATGACGGAGAATGACTTCCTTGAGTAGTGTGCTTTATATCCCAATTAGCTTATTTGTCATTGCCAAGGCAACTCTAATATTAGCAACATCCAAATCACTGAATTTACCATCTTTGTTATTTTGTTAATCCTGAAACATTCTCAAAAAGACACTCAGGGTCAAGTTATGTCAAAACAACATCTAAGGAAAGAAGCTCTTGTACATCACAGCTCCATTTATATGCTCAAGAGATTCCTGAAGGTCAACTGCAAGGCTCTGACAAACAAGCACTCTTGAGATACCAAGACTGTAAGGAGGCTGTATGAGTTGTCTTAAAACTGTACATTAATATACTTTTAGTGCTTTATGACTTCTTCTAGCCATACTTCTCAGGAGACAGAATCTCTCTAGCTAGATATTAAAACAGACAGTGTGAACCCGCTCGCATTTCTACACCAGTGTCCTGCAGAGAGCCATAAAGCAGACCTAGTGATCATATTTTGGCAAATATCAATATTATAAAAGTACATAGGTGATAACCTAGGACAAAGTAGTGGATTAAATCCTGCTTCCAGTGAGGATTCTGGGAAACATCCCTTTTACTTTACGGACAACAAAGTTTGGCCAAATCTGAGGGTGACTGAAAACTGCACCCTGAATATCTGTAAATGCTCTGAACATCTCTAATTTTCAATTAGAGTGATCACTATTTACAATAAACTGTTTGAAAATTAATATATTTTCTGTTTATCTGCCCTCATCTAATACAAGAGGGTTTCATCTTTCTCCTCAGAGGTGATAACTTCATTAACTTCATACTTAACCTTTCAAGCAGCTGAGGAAACACTATGAAATACAGCAAGAATTCTGAGATTCGGGGAAGAGAAAGAAGTACAGACTAGACAACAAGTGACCAGCAATACTTAATTCTACACATCTTCGTTTAAGGATCAAAAATTTAAACAAACAAACAAACAAACAAAACCTCTGAGAAATACACAGGAAAACCTAAATTCATACACATACACACAAATCTTGCCAAAATAAATAAATAAGACCAAACCTGACACTGTATTTTGAGAAATAAAAAGGACACAGGAAGACAGGATCTTGTTCTTTACCACAAAGATGAAAGGAGAGCTGACTTCAACATTTATTAAAAAAAAAAAAAAAAAAAAGACAGGATTTAGTAGCCACAAAGTATCAGGGCTTACTAGCTAGGTACATACTTACTAGATAGGCACACTCCTATATTTTCCCCATGGCTTTTGTCTGGTTTTCCAGACACCTGTCTGTCACCTCAAACCACCCAATGTCACCCATAGAATATTTTTTCTCTTCATTCCAGTTCTGATATTTGGCTGTTATCACTTACATGATATTCATACCAGGGGAAGTATGATATTCCCCTGATGGATTTCCATATTGCAATAAATCAAAATGCATTTGCATTATCAAAATTCAAACAAGATTGTTCACCTAGCCCAAAAGACCTCCTCCTCCCCCCTTATTTTTGTTTTTCAGGAGACTGAGGTTCGTGGGTCCAGCATAATGATGTATTGCAAGGTGTTCCACAAGCAGAGCTTTTCTGATTAATATATTGTGTGCAACAGTACACAGCAAGTAAGTCACCTTGGGTCTGCCTTCATTGGGGTTATTAACTGTGTCAGAATATGTTAGCCAAAATGATTGTAATTTCTCCTATGGATTGGATATAGCTGTTCTGATCTGACTGGGTAGAGATTTAAAAGTTGCCTCCTTAAGGCTTCAAAAGGCAAATGAATTCACATGTGAGCTTTACAGCAAATTTATCCTTCTTCCTAAGCATCCTGTGATTCAGAGCTTCCTTTCTATTTGTTTTCTCCTTGCAGATTGGGTAAGAAACTTCAACAGCCAGTTGCTCCAAGGGGTCTTCAAAATAAGAGCATCCTCAGAAATTACCCTGCATACATGTGCTCTGTTCTCTGATGACAGACCAGCTCCAAAAAAGGCCTTGGTTCAAGCTGTCAATCCAATACTGCCAAATCTTTGTTAATTTTAAGTAGCTTGCAGTGGAAATCTGACATTCAGCTGGAATAATCTGGATTTCCCCCCTTCTCAGTAGTGTGAACTACATTGTTACATGAGACCTGAATGAACTTTATTAAGAAAAGTGTTTTTGTTTTTTTGTTTTTTTTTCCTTCCCATGGGGAATCCCATAATTTCAATTTATTTTTTCCACATTCAACAAAGAAATGGGAAAGAAAAATAGAAATTGCCCTGCAGAGCAAGATTAGGAAATATATTTTGTTGAGGTTGATCTACATGTAATAAAAATAACACATTAGAATGCTAAAAAATATTTAAGATGAAAGCATTTTCTCTCCTGACCTCTTCTTGCGAGATCAATAGGGCATGCTTTGAACAAATAGTGATAGTGTTAGGAAAGGAACCTGCTTAGTTTTTACTCCAAATTTGAAAATTATTATAATAACCTCTACTTTAGTTTCAGAGGTTTTCAATGAGCAAGGAAACCAACTCATACGAACACCACTCATCATCTCTAATCATGACCTTGTTACCACTTTTAGGCTGTTTGATTTTCTGGAGTTGCAAGCCAGAGACTTCCAGACAATCCAGATTCTGGATGTGTATAAGATATATCAATTCAGCAGAAATTAGGGTTTTTGATAAAGTAAGAACTAATATATATATATATCATTATGAAAGATGCTTTTAATAAAATACAGAAGGACTTTCTTTTACCCTCTTTGTGAGATTTCAGAATAGTCACAGCATGATCTATGTTATTCTTTAGTCTTTAGATAACAGGAAGGACCACATGACAAGAGCAGCTTCCTGGACTGAACCGAAAGTCTGTGGTTTTTTTTTGGTTGTTGTTGGTGGTGTGTTTTGTTTGTTTGTTTGTTTTTGTTTTCCTTCCACAGAGTTGTATAGTAGCCACTTCCACAAAGTAGCTACTTCCTAGTAGTAGATGGAGAAAAGCAATCCATGTATGAAGCCAGGACTCCCTGTACACCTCACCTCACTCCTAACAATCTGTAGCTGAAAGGCTTCCTGCACTGGGGGCTTTTCTTGGACCCTTCCTTTGCACCAAGATTCAGCAGTTCAGTGAAAGCCCTGATGAACGACAAGGTTTTCTGAGCCCCGGCTCTAGATTATCTATAAGATAATGAGAAATAGATTCTGAAACAGTCTCCTATGAGATTTGTTTGATTTAGATTCCAGAAAGGTGTCTCAGACTGCTCTTACTGCCACCCTCATGGTGTACTTCTTCAGTGCAAGGCCACATTCTGAAGCTGTAACACACCTAAACCGCAAACCAATCTCTTTGGCTGAAAAACAATTCTTAGACATCTAACCTGTAACTTCTCTCAGAGAATTTTAGAAAGGTTTTCAATTAATCAATTAAATAAATCAATTCATTTCAAAAATTTGTGACAAGGTTTAATTCTGCACTAACCTCAGATTTTCTCCCGTAGACTGGTTTAGTCTCAGAGCCATTCATAATGGATCAGATCTCTCTAGGTCTCTCTTCCTTCCATAAAATTTAAAAAGGGAACATGCCATTGCATTTGAAGCAGTCATACAGATACAGTTATGAAGCTTACTCAGTAATCATGAGGTCAGGGCTACAGTGAAGAGCATAAAAGAGGTGTAAAATAACAAAATAACTCAAATTAGCCTGTTAGAACTGCTTATCTTCAGGGGGAAAAAAAAACGCGTGAAAGAGAGAGAGTTGCTAACTATTCTTTCTGCAATATAACCAAAAAGACTTAGAAATGCACAGTCCTAAAGTTTTTCAAGCCCATCTCTTTTTATTTTCTCAGGAACTAACAGCTAATAAGCCAGCAAGAACTTCACCAGCTAATGAGCGTTAGTGACAACAAAGGACCCTCAAGCAATCATTTCCTAGGTCTGTTTCTTACCTTTCTGATGCAACTTCCCAGCCACAACCTCCCTTCTTGCACAGAACTGATGCTTGTCCTCTACTCATTATCATTGTCACGTAACTAAATTTTACTCTCAGTTCTCGAGCTGTTCAAAAATAACAGGTAAAAGACCAAATTTGCCTTGCAATGAGACACACCTGCTTTCTTGTGCATTTGTATACACCTTGTACATCTAAATCTTGTCACAATCATACTAATTCTGAGAAATAATTTATATCTGCCTAGTCAGAAGGAACTTGGACTTTAAGAGGTGACATAAGATCTATTATATAAGTAATATAGGGAAATAGCAGAGATATAGTTTGTGCCAGACTGTGAAACAACAGTAATAACTATGGCGATTTTCTTTTACATGTAGGTTCTGATTTTAGCTTTTGTCTAACCAAGCACTTAACAAACAAAAATGAAGTAAGGAAGGTAAACAACTGAAAACTGACATGACACTAAAGAATACTCCAGAAGAGTACCTCAGATAGCAGTCTGGCTTTTATGGCCAACTTCAGCTGAAAAGCATAAACTCTGCATTGCCAGAAGAGAGGCAGCATTATGGGTTAGTCCGACAGGTGGGACTGTGGAGAGAATCAGAAAGGTGAAAGTGCTAGAACTCATGGGTTGAGATAAAGAGAGTTCACTGTGGAAAGCAAAAGCCATGCACAAAAGCAAAGCAAAACAAGGAATTTGTTCACTACTTTTCATCAGCAGTCAGGTGTCCAGCAACATCCAGAAAAGCAGGGCACATCACATACATGTACATGTATAATGATCTCTTGGGAAGACAAACACAATCACTTTGAACATCCCCCTGTCCTCCTTCTTTCCCCTGGTTTTATTGCTAAGCATGATGTCACGTGGTGTGGGACATCCCTTTGGTCAGTCTGGGCCACATGTCCTGGCTGCATCCCTCCCCAAATCCTGGTGCACCCCCAGCGCCCTCACTGGCAGGACAGCATGAGGAGCTGAAAAGTCCTTGGCTCTGTGTAAGCACTGCTCAGTAAAAACTAAAACATCGGCATGTTATCACCACTAATTTCATCAAAAATTCAAAACACAGGACAATACTAGCTACTAGGAAAAAAATTAACTCAGTCCCAACTGATACCAGGGCAGGCATCACCAAAGGGAAACTGCTTAATCAAGATACAAGTGAGGGCTTGGTCATGCAATGAAGAGAATAAGTTAATCAACAAGGTGACTGTGACTTTAAATTTTCCAAATCTTAATCTCTTAAGTAAATTCTCTGCTTTGGTAGATAAGATGAATTTGGCAAGTTTTAAAGCCAGATAGGATCAGAGCTTAAACTAAAAATTAGGAATCACAAAAATATTGCTAAACCAGTTTCATAAAACTGCAGGGAGTTTCCTCAAGTCAAATAGGTAATACCAAAACTTTGGGTTTCTGTTCACAAAAAGAAATTCAGGATGCCTTGATTTCTTGGTCTGCAGAGTTATAAACTGAGCTCCTCCCTCAATTTCCTGTGAAGAGCCCATTAGAGAGAATGTCCTTTCATCTAGGGGAAAGGCTGTTCTTCATGAATCCTTTTCTTTTTTTGGAAGATACTAAATCTCATGATATGTAAATACTGTTATATGATTCTCACAGCATCCTAGAAAATGCATTACAGAGAAACATTTGTTTAGTTGCACCAATGAAACAACAAAAATATTTTATAAAGTTCAATAATTATATATATTACTGGAGAGCATCAGCAGCTTTATCAAATTGATTAATGTTGATTGAGGTTTCACAGAGTAAAAGATATTTACAGTACTGAGTCAGGTTAATCTACAGAATACCCCTAGATTACATTGCAGTCTATTTTCAGATTTATCTTATTGTTTCCTCTTCTTTGTAATCAAAACAAATTTCATAAGCATCTGTAGATAATGACCTGTATCTTTCTGTTGCTCTTCCCCGTCTTCGGTCAGATAAGCCTCATAAGTGTTATTTATGATATTCTGTGCTGTTATTTTATGGCCTTTTGCATTTTATTGTTGTATGTGACAGGATAATTATATATAATTGATAGTTAGTTTCATATTGCGCAGAAAGAGCTTGATAGGCAACTCATATCCCAAACCATTTGTATTTGTCAGGGTATATATTTTTAGCCATCTCAACCAGGTACTCTTTTGAAAGACACAGTGCATGTCTCTTCAAATCTGTTCTTTAATTGATTTATCATGGACATAATTTTTTAACAAAGGAAATATCACATATGGCAAAGCAGATTAATTTCGTCAGATACTATTTTCTACTGTAGCATGAAGGAAAAAGGCATGAGATATCCATCTCCCTATATATCCCTATATGTAGAAAGAAATACTGTGACCTTGGGACCCAGTATTTTCTGCATAAAAATGTTGACAGCACAATGCATACATTTCTTCGAGAAGTTTGATTTAGAGCTAGGATCAAACTACGGGCATTTAAACTACAGGTTTCATGCCTTCAGTGGGGATCCCAAGACCAGTTCCTGACATACTGCTGAACTCTTCTTAAAACTAATATGAAAATATATTTAAGAGAGAGAATCAAGGTATTGAAAACAAGCTAAAGACCTCCCTTTATGACTGCAGATTTGCCACGTGAATATTTATCACTGTTTCCAAGTCAGGTAATTGAGAAGAAATAGTCTCTGCTAAACCAAACCAAAATTTTCAGCTTACTTTCATCCCATTTCAACCTCAGGTACCTGCTTGAGGTGTCTAAGTCAGGAGAATACTTGCCTTAGGCTCCTGCTAAAGCCAATGATGAGATATAGAATAAATTGCCATCTGGAAGTGCCTATCTGTCTTTGACAATCTTTGACAATCAAGGATATCTAAACTCCTAACTCTTTATCTTCAACATAGTTAAGTGTCTTATGTTAGTTGGGAGGAATCCGTACTTTCAGTCATAAAGAAAAAGTGCAAAGAAAGAAACGTCAGCGTCTGATTCATCCAACTTCTCCCCACTGTGCAGATCAATCCTTAATTATACTATCTGCTTGAGAACAATTTCAAATCTTGTCCTCAGGGCAACATTCCTGAAAATAAAAATGCACTTCTTTGAGGGGAATAACAACAACAACAACAACAGCAAAAAACAGTCATGATCCTATATACTTCAAAGATAATTAAGTTATGATTGATACAATTTAAAACACAGACATAGCAGGTTATATCTTTGCTATTTTAGCAATATATTAGTAATGGCTAATTATTTTTAATAAAAACATGGATTCCACAGACATTTTAATACACTTTGCTAGTTTCTCTGTGTTCTATTTCTGATAATTATGAAAAATTCACTTGACAGGTTTTTCTGCAGTCTGCCCCCTAATAAGGGAGGTCATGTTCCTTTAAGCTTCAGAAACAATTAACATTTTATAGCATTTGGACATGTATGGTAGTGCAGTCTTACTATTGAAAAGCAGATTCATGTGTGTTACTCAGCAACTTCTCAATCCTTAGAGAAACCCAGTGTTCCTCTAACATATATCAGATGGAAGCAATTAACAGTATGCTGAACTAATGTGATAAGGGCCAAGCCCGAATCTAACACCGTCCCTCATAGGACAAGCAAAAGAGACTGAGAGTACTGCAGAGCTCACAGCAGGGGAAACGGGTTGGATTCTCATCTTCCCTATGTTATGTGACTCCACTTAATATCAACATAAAGTAAAGATGAGTGTCATAAACAGAGAAGCCATGTTTACTCACAGCCTGAAATCATGGAGAGAGGAAAAAGAATTATCTTCTATAATGTTACTGAATTTGGGAATAAATGCCATAGATACAGTTATGTAGAGCAATGACTATCAAATGACTGTACTTGTGAGTTGTCCTTCCAGACACTGCTTTTTTCTGAGAGTCCTTTAAATTTAAGGGACATCTGTGATTCTGCTGGTAAGGTCATAATTGCTCAGTCCCAGGCTCTTAAAATATAATATTTTACAATGATAAATTATTAGCTTCCAAGACACAAATGTATAATAATAAAACAGTCTGGTTTGGTAGGATGCCTTGTTTATGCCTTTTTCTCTTTCATTCTGAATTAGTTTGCATTAAAACATAACAGCTGTATTTGTCAGAGATGGGGAATGCAAGTGAACCTGTTAGCTAGGCTCTTGCACAGTCCCTGGACAATAGCCAGGGGACACTTCAGTAAAACCTTCTGCAGTTGGTGGGATAACTGTCTCCTTGCCTCAGGGAACCTCAGCATTAAAGTTATTAAATAAAACAGCCGGCCTGGCAGTTGGCTATGAGAAGCAATTTATACCATTGTAAATGGATTAGCAAAATGTAATTTCTTTTAACGTTTCCGTTTCAATTATTTCAAATAGATGTGCAGTTATAAATGTTAAGGAATTGTTCAAATGTTTCTCACTATGGAAAAAGTAAATATAGGTTAGAGGACTCCCAGGTGAATTTCCTATGTTTTTCTGTTTTCTGTTATGCTAAGGCTTTCCATGTACTGCTGTAAAAGTTACCATGTGGAGACCAGGAGAAAAAATATTTGTGGTCCTGATAAAACAGGGTATTATACTAATCAGGAAAGTATAGACTTGAAATGTCTTGAGGACCAGAGGAAAGCCTATGGCTGTTCTTATCCTACATTCTCAGCTGGTATATTTTGACATCAAGAGCCTGCAGCAGTGCGTGAGACACCAGGAAAGAGACTATGCCACATATCTGTCTGTGTGAGAAACAGGGGGAATGTCTCTTGAAAGTATGCCTCTGTGGATATTCTCTGAGAAGGGGTAATTAATAAACATAGCTAGAAGCTTAGAAACTATCAAACTCTCTTGCAGTGATTTCAGCAATATCTCACCTGATCTCCCTCTCTCTCTCTCTCTCTCTCTTTTTTTTTTTTTTTTTTTTTTTTTTGTAAGATGTTGCAATTAAGCAATAAGATATAACAAGAAATATGACTACTGGCATGGGATAATCACGTCCTTGGGGTGTGATCAAGAATCAAGAACAGACGAGTGCTTCTAATCCCCCATGGGTGCGATTACCTCATGATAGCCATATCCACTGAGAAACTACGTTGCTACTGTGAATTGTTCACTTTTATATTCAAATACATTATCCAGGCAAGTGACCGTGATCGCCTCAAACTGCCATTTTGTGTCAGACTGCTTAGAAGCAGGATGCAGCCTGGTTGCAGCCGTTTCCCTCAATGCTCTGCAAACGCCACTCGCCAGAGCAGAGAAAAGCCCACCAGAAATACTGCTGGGTGTGCAAACCTCCTGTTTTCAAAAAAATAAAAAGCTCTCCACAGCAGACACGGTCACAAGCCAAATTAAAGTTGCCGTAGACTTTATAAGAGGGGGTGGTGAGGGGCAAAAGTAGGGCAGCAAGAAGCAGCGGACAAGACTAGCTCAATAGAAATCAGCCGTGCAGAAGCCTGAGGGCTAAGATGGCAGTCATCATCGATTCAAGGGGAGGGAGATGTCAAGGACAGGGAATGTCAAGCAGGAACAACAATAAGGCATCATAAGAGTGCTTAGCAGTGCCAAGTCTTCCAAAAGCAGAACAAATAAAGCTACCCGCCTGTTGTGATTGGTCTATTTGCTGCTTGATATCACAAGAAAAATGTATAAAGAAAAAAAAAAAAAGGGATACATTTAAAATGTACATCTGTCCTCTCCCTCCCTCCTACACAAAACTAATTAAAAATATTCTCTCT